TCTTCAGCTTGACGGCATCCCTTACTTCCGGTGTCCACCACCGGGTTCGGGGATTGCCGCCGCGAGAGGCACCACAGACCTTACGCCCAGCAGCCGCATCGACAATAGAGGCCGAGAATGAAGCCCACTCAGACTCCATATCTCCAGCCTCCCCCGGAATCCGGGAGAAGTCCTCCCGGAGGTGCGAGTTGAAGGTCCCTCTGACAGAGGGCTCCGCCAGACGTTCCCAACAGAAGGAGTACTTTGAGGATCTCCTCAATCCCACCGTCACGTCTTCCGAGGAGGAAGCTGAGGCTGGGTACTCGGAGGCGGACTCATCCATCACCTTGGCTGAAGTCACTGAGGTGGTTGGAAAGCTCCTTGGTGGCAAGGCTCCGGGGTTGGATGAGATCTGTCCTGAGTACCTTAAGTCTCTGGATGTTGTGGGGCTGTCTTGGCTGACACGCCTCTTCAACATCGCGTGCTGGTCGGGGACAGTACCTCTGGACTGGCAAACCGGGGTGGTAGTCCCTCTGTATAAGAAGGTCGACCGGAGGGTGTGTTCCAACTATAGGGAGGTCACACTCCTCAGCCTTCCCGGTAAGGTCTATGCCAGGGTACTGGAGAGGAGAATCCGGCTGATAGTCGAACCTCAGATCCAGGAAGAGCAGTGTGGTTTTCGTCCTGGCCGTGGAACACTGGACCAGCTCTACACTCTCCATAGGGTGCTCGAGGGTTCATGGGAGTTTGCCCAACCAGTCCACATGTGCTTTGTGGACTTGGAGAAGGCATTCGACCGTGTCCCTTGTGGTGTCCTCTGGGGGGTGCTCTGGGAGTATGGGGTCTGGGGCCCTTTGCTAAGGGCTGTCCAGTCCCTGTATGACCGGAGCAGGAGCTGTGTTCGCATTGCCGGCAGTAAGTCAGACCTGTTCCCGGTGCATGTTGGACTCCGCCAGGGCTGCCCTTTGTCACCGGTTCTGTTCATTGTATTTATGGACAGAATTTCTATTCGCAGTCAGGGGCCGGAGGGGGTCCGGTTTGGGGACCACAGGATTTCATGTCTGCTGTTTGCGGATGATGTTGTCCTGTTGGCTTCATCGAACCAGGACCTGCAATGTGCACTGGGGCGGTTTGCAGCCGAGTGTGAAGCGGCTGGGATGAAGATCAGCTCTTCTAAGTCTGAGGCCATGATTCTCGACCGGAAAAAGGTGGCTTGCCCTCTCCGGGTGGGTGGGGAGTCTTTGCCTCAAGTGGAGGAGTTCAAGTATCTCGTGGTCTTGTTCATGAGTGAGGGAAGGACGGAACATGAGATTGACAGGCGGATTGGTGCAGCTTCGGCAGTGATGCGGTCGCTGTATTGGACCGTTGTGGTGAAGCGGGAGTTGAGCCGAAAGGCGAAGCTCTCGATTTACCAGTCAGTCTTCGTTCCTACTCTCACCTATGGTCATGAGCTCTGGGTAGTGACCGAAAGGACAGGATTGCAGATACAAGCGCTCGAAATGAGTTTCCTCCACAGGGTGGCTGGGCACTCCCTTAGAGATAGGGTGAGGAGCTCAGTCACACGGGAGGAGCTCGGAGTAGAGCCGCTGCTCCTCCACATTGAGAGGAGCCAGTTGAGGTGGCTCAGGCATCTGTTCCGGATGCCTCCGGGCATGTCCCGCCGGGAGGAACCCCCGGGGGAAGACCCAGGACACGCTGGAGGGACTATGTCTCTCGGCTGGCCTAGGAATGCCTCGGGGTTCCCCCGGAGGAGCTGGAGGACGTGTCTGGGGTGAAGGAAGTCTGGGAGTCCCTGCTTAGGCTGCTGCCCCCGCAACCCGGCCCCGGATAAGCGGACGAAAATGGATGGATGGATGGATTATTTTGTGAAACCAAATATTATCTCATTGCATCATAGATGCATGTAATGTAATTGTTATGTTTTTAACTATTAATTAAAACACATGAGACATACTTAATTCTGTTAGAATTAAGTATGGATCCCACTAAGGCCAGCCTGCAGGCTCAAGTCTTTTTTCCATTTAAAAACCATGGAAGAGAACAAACTATTTTCTGCTTTAGTTTGATTTTTCAAAAGATAGAATATTTAGTTTTAAGTTGAATTTTGAATTGCTATGGTAACAGCCCCACATTCATACTCAAGATACAACTAATACAGAAGATTAGAGTCACTCACACCTGCTGCATTTAGCAATTTATGCAGTATCACTTTCTGCATATAGGGGGCGATCTACCCTCAGTCTGGGAAGGTCATATAAGGTGACACTATATAACTACATATCTGTACTTCCTCCAATTCATTTCAGTCACTCAGGCCCCAACATGTTCAGACACACAATCACCTTTTTGGTCATTTTGTATAGATTACAGGTAAAAGGTAAGGTCCATGAAATTTTACATTGTATGTTTATTATCACAGAGTTTTAAAATGATTCTTTCATATTTCAATTACAGGTCAAGTTGAGAGTTCAGATGTGACCCAGGATGAATTGATTTGGGCAGAAGAAGGAAAAGAAGCCAAAATGACCTGCACCCACACAAAAGGAGTTGAATATTCTCAAATGTACTGGTATCAACAGCTGCCTGGAGAAACTATGAGACTCATAGTTTTTACAATGTATGGCAAAAATGACCATGACTTCGGAGATTTCAGCAAAGAAAAATACTCTGCTCACCGGACCAGTGCTAGAAGTGGAACATTTACAGTGAAAGATGTAACAGCTGCAGATAAAGCCATGTATTTCTGTGCTGTAACTCAACACAGTGAATCAAACTTATGCAAAACCTCAACAAAAACTTATCAAGACTGTGGGTGTACAGTAGGGGGACTATCAGACCTCAACTGTCTGAATGAAGACACGCCCACCTACAATGCAGTTACTCTAACACATGGTTTTCTTCATTAATACAAGTCTGTCTCCAGATTATATTTGCCAATGTTATTTAATGGTAAGACTTATATCAGCATAATTTTGTGAAACTCAAAATTTCTCATTGTGTCATAGATGTATGTACTGTAATTGTTATGTTTTTGACTCAATTTTAAAAACAATGCAAAAGCACAAACTATTTTCCTCTTGGGTTAAGTAAGTCTTTATTTATATAGTGCTTTTCACAGACATATGTCACAAAGACGCTTTACAGAGGATTATTGATTCACTACATACCCGGTGATGGTAAGCTACTATTGTAACCACACCTGCCCTGGGGTAGACTGACGGAAGCGCTGCTGCCAGCCAATTAGCGCCATCGGTCCCTCTGAGCACCACCATCACTCACGCACACTCCATTTTTATACTTAAGCTATTCATGGATGTAAGTTTCATGGTACAGCGTGATTTTGAGGATGTTTGATCTTTCAAAAGACACAATAATTAGTTTTGAGTCGTTAATTGCTATGGTAAAAGTCCCACATTTGCAGATTTCTTAATCAAAAGATCAAATTCACAACATAAACATAACTTGTATTTCTCTGTTAAGGTGTGTGTTTTTCCACTGTGATCCAATTTAGCAATTTATGCAGTATCACTTTCTGCACATAGGGGGCGATCTACCCTCAGTCTGGGAAGGTCATATAAGGTAACACTATATAACTACATATCTGTACTTCCTGCAATTCATTTCAGTCACTCAGGCCCCAACATGTTCAGACACACAATCACCTTTCTCATCATTTTGTATAGATTACAGGTAAAAGGTAAGGTCCATGTAACTTTACATTATGTATTTATTATCAGAGAATATTCATTTCTGCTTATATTTCAATTATAGGTCAAGTTGAGGGTTCAGATGTGACCCAGGATGAACTGATTTGGGCACAAGAAGGAAAAGAAGCGAGCATGACCTGCACTCATACAAAAGGGATTAACTTTATTCAAATGTACTGGTATAGACAGCTGCCTGGAGAAACTATGAGACTCGTAGTTTATACAATGTACGGCAAAAGTGACCATGACTTTGGAGATTTCAGCAAAGAGAAATACTCCGCTCACCGGGCCAGTGCTCAAAGTGGAACGTTTACAGTGAAAGATGTAACAGCTGCAGATAAAGCCATGTATTTCTGTGCTGTAAGTCAACACAGTGAATCAAACTCATGCAAAACCTCAACAAAAACATATCAAGAGTCTGGGTGTACAGTAGGGGGACTATCAGACCACAACTGTCTGAATGAAGACACGCCCACCTACAATGCAACTACTCTAACATATGGTTTTCTTCATTAACACAAGTGTCTGTCTAAAGCTCAGACAACATGGGGTGTTGTGATCATGGGTTTCTCAGCTTCTTGTTACTAACCTCATTTAATGGTAAGATTTTTTTTTTATATCACATTTTTTTGTGAAACTCAGTATGATCTCATGTATGTACTGTAATTATTATGTTTTTAACTTTTAAATAAAACATAAAATACATAATTAATACTACAAGAATGCTTCTAATCATACTAGATCCCTAAGCCCAGACTGCAGGCTCAAGTCTTCTTCCATTTAAAAACATTGCAAGAGAACAAACTATTTTCCTCTTTAGTTTGACCTTTTAAAAGACAGAATATTTATTTTTGAGTTGTTAATTGCTTTGGTAACAGTCCCATATTCGTGGCTAGATTTCATAATCAAAAGATCTAATTCACAACATAAACATAACTTATATTTCTCTTTAGGTCTGTGTTTTTCCAGTGTGATCCAGAAGAACATTTTGTGGGAATCTGAAGGAAGGAATGCCACACTCCACTGCAGCCACACTAAAGGAGGATTATATTATCAAATGTACTGGTACAGACAGAGACCTGGAGAAAACATGAGACAAATCGTATTTACAACTCCAAACTCTAATCCAGATTTTGAGCCAGATTTTAAAAACAAGGGAATTAAAGTTACAAAACCGAATGCTGAAAGTGGGACATTGACAGTGGAAAAGCTGCAGCCTGGAGACAGTGGAGTGTATTTTTGTGCTGTCAGTCAACACAGTGAAACAAACTCATTTCAAACATGAACAAAAACTCCAGATTAAATTTATACAGAAGATCAGAGTCACTCACACCTGCTACACTTGGCAATTGATGCAGTATCACTTTCTGCACATAGGGGGTGATCTACCCTCAGTCTGGGAAGGTCATATAAAGTGACACAACACATATCTGTACTTCCTCCAGTTCATTTCAGTCACTCAGGCCCCAACATGTTCAGACACACAATCACCTTTCTCGTCATTTTGTTTAGATTACAGGTAAAAGGTAAGATCCATGAAACTTTACATTATGCTCTTTTTTTTTTTTTTAATTACCATTTATATTTCAATTATAGGTCAAGTTGAGGGTTCAGATGTGACCCAGGATGGATTGATTTGGGCAAAAGAAGGAAAAGAAGCCAACATGACCTGCACTCATACAAAAGACATTACCTATACTCAAATGTACTGGTATAAACAGTTGCCCGGAGAAACTATGAGACTCATAGTTTATACAATGTACGGCAAAAATGACCATGACTTCGGAGATTTCAGCAAAGAAAAATACTCTGCTCAACGGGCCAGTGCTCAAAGTGGGACGTTTACAGTGAAAGATGTAACAGCTGCAGATAAAGCCATGTATTTCTGTGCTGTAAGTCAACACAGTGAATCAAACTCATGCAAAACCTCAACAAAAACATATCAAGAGTCTGGGTGTACAGTAGGGGGATTATCAGACCACAACTGTCTGAATTAAGACACACCCACCTACAATGGAACTACTCTAACACATGGTTTTCCTCATCAACACAAGTCCGTATCCAGGTCTCTAACATTATATTTGCCAATCTTATTTCATGGTAAGATTTTATATTAGCATTATTATTATTGTGAAACTCAAAATATCTCATTGTGTCATAGATGTATGTACTGTAATTTTTATGTTTTTGACTCAATTTTAAAACAATGCAAAAGAACAAACTATTTTCCTCTTCATTTAACCAATTCATGGATTTAGGTTTCCCGGTACAGCGTCATTTTGAGGACATTTGACCTTTCAAAAGACAGAATATTTAGTTTTGAGTTGTTAATTGCTAGGGTAACAGTCTCATATTTGCAGATATATTTCCTAATCAAAAGATCAGATTCACAACATAAACATAACTTGTATTTCTCTGTTTAGGTGTGTGTTTTCCCAATATGATCCAGAAGGACATTTTGTGGGAATCTGAAGGAGGGAATGACACACTCCACTGCAGCCACAATAAAGCATATTACAATCAAATGTACTGGTACAGACAGAGACCTGGAGAAATAATAAGACAAATCGTATTTCCAATGACAACAACCAAACCTGATTTTGAGCCAGATTTTACAGATGATATATTTAATGTTCCCAGGCCAAATGCTGAAAGTGGGACACTGACAGTGGAAAAGATGCAGCCTGGAGACAGTGGAGTGTACTTTTGTGCTGTCAGTGAACACAGTGAAAAAATCTTTTTAAAACATAAACAAAACTGCAAGAGAAAACTAATACACAACATAAGAGAGTCCACTCACTCCTGCTGCATTTAGCAATTTCTGCAGTATCACTTTCTGCACATAGGGGGCGATCTACCCTCAGTCTGGGAAGGTCATATAAGGTGACACTATATAACTACATATCTGTACTTCCTCCAATTCATTTCAGTCACTCAGGCCCCAACATGTTCAGACACACAATCACCTTTCTGGTCATTTTGTATAGATTACAGGTAAAAGGTAAGGTTCATAAAATGTAACATTATGTATTTATTATTGTAGAATTTTAAAATGACTATGTGCCTAAAATATTATATTTCAATTATAGGTCAAGTTGAGGGTTCAGATGTGACCCAGGATGGATTGATTTGGGCACAAGAAGGAAAAGAAGCCACGATGAGCTGCACTCACACAAAAGGAGCTGGTTATCCTCAAATGTACTGGTATAGACAGCTGCCTGGAGAAACTATGAGACTCATAGTTTATACAATGTACGGCAAAAATGACCATGACTTCGGAGATTTCAGCAAAGAGAAATACTCTGCTCACCGGGCCAGTGCTCAAAGTGGGACATTTACAGTGAAAGATGTAACAGCTGCAGATAAAGCCATGTATTTCTGTGCTGTAAGTCAACACAGTGACTCAAACTCATGCAAAACCTCAACAAAAACATATCAAGAGTCTGGGTGTACAGTAGGGGGATTATCAGACCACAACTGTTTAAATTAAGACACACCCACCTACAATGCAACTACTCTAACATTTGGTTTTCTTCATCAACACAAGTGTCTGTCTCCAGCTCAGACAACATGGGCTGTTTTAATCATGCGTTTTTCATTTTATTTTTACTCATCTTATTTAAGGGTAAGATTTTTTTTGTTTTGTTTAAGTATCAGCATTGTTTTGTGAAACTCAAAATATCATCTTATTATGTCATAAATGTATGTACTCTAATTGTTCGTTTTTTAACTTTTAAATAAAACACACAAGACATATTACTTATACTGTGAAAATGCTTTTAATTATATTGGATCCCTAAACCCAGACTGCAGGCTCAAGTCTTCTTCCATTTAAAAACTTTGCAAGAGAACAAACTATTTTCCTTTTTAGTTTGACCTTTTAAAAGACAGAATATTTAGTTTTGAGTTGTTAATTGCTTTGGTAACAGTCCCATATTCGTGGCTAGATTTCATAATCAAAAGATCTAATTCACAACATAAACATAACTTATATTTCTCTTTAGGCATGTGTTTTTCCAGTGTGATCCAGAAGAACATTTTGTGGGAATCTCAAGGAGGGAATGCCACACTCCACTGCAGCCACACTAAAGGAGCTACTTATTATCAAATGTACTGGTACAGACAGAGACCTGGAGAAAACATGAGACAAATCGTATTTACAACTCCAAACTCTAATCCAGATTTTGAGCCAGATTTTAAAAACAAGGGAATTAAAGTTACAAAACCGAATGCTGAAAGTGGGACATTGACAGTGGAAAAGCTGCAGCCTGGAGACAGTGGAGTGTATTTTTGTGCTGTCAGTCAACACAGTGAAACAAACTCATTTCAAACATGAACAAAAACTCCAGATTAAATTTATACAGAAGATCAGAGTCACTCACACCTGCTACACTTGACAATTTATGCAGTATCACTTTCTGCACATAGGGGGTGATCTACCCTCAGTCTGGGAAGGTCACATAAAGTGACACAATACATATCTGTACTTCCTCCAGTTCATTTCAGTCACTCAGGCCCCAACATGTTCAGACACACAATCACCTTTCTCGTCATTTTGTTTAGATTACAGGTCAAAGGTAAGATCCATGAAACTTTACATTATGTATTTACGTATTATCGTAGATTTGTTAAATGACCATTTATATTTAAATTATAGGTCAAGTTGAGGGTTCAGATGTGACCCAGGATGAATTGATTTGGGCACAAGAAGGAAAAGAAGCCACGATGAGCTGCACTCACACAAAAGGAGCTGGTTATACTCAAATGTACTGGTATCGACAGCTGCCGGGAGAAACTATGAGACTCATAGTTTATACAATGTACGGCAAAAATGACCATGACTTCGGAGATTTCAGCAAAGAAAAATACTCTGCTCAACGGGCCAGTGCTCAAAGTGGGACATTTACAGTGAAAGATGTAACAGCTGCAGATAAAGCCATGTATTTCTGTGCTGTAAGTCAACACAGTGACTCAAACTCATGCAAAACCTCAACAAAAACATATCAAGAGTCTGGGTGTACAGTAGGGGGATTATCAGACCACAACTGTTTAAATTAAGACACACCCACCTACAATGCAACTACTCTAACATTTGGTTTTCTTCATTAACACAAGAGTCTGTCTCCAGCTCAGACAGCATGGGCTGTTTTAATCATGCGTTTTTCATTTTATTTTTACTCATCTTATTTAAGGGTAAGATTTTTTTTTGTTTTGTTTAAGTATCAGCATTGTTTTGTGAAACTCAAAATATCATCTTATTATGTCATAAATGTATGTACTCTAATTGTTCGTTTTTTAACTTTTAAATAAAACACACAAGACATATTACTTATACTGTGAAAATGCTTTTAATTATATTGGATCCCTAAACCCAGACTGCAGGCTCAAGTCTTCTTCCATTTAAAAACTTTGCAAGAGAACAAACTATTTTCCTTTTTAGTTTGACCTTTTAAAAGACAGAATATTTAGTTTTGAGTTGTTAATTGCTTTGGTAACAGTCCCATATTCGTGGCTAGATTTCATAATCAAAAGATCTAATTCACAACATAAACATAACTTATATTTCTCTTTAGGCATGTGTTTTTCCAGTGTGATCCAGAAGAACATTTTGTGGGAATCTCAAGGAGGGAATGCCACACTCCACTGCAGCCACACTAAAGGAGCTACTTATTATCAAATGTACTGGTACAGACAGAGACCTGGAGAAAACATGAGACAAATCGTATTTACAACTCCAAACTCTAATCCAGATTTTGAGTCAGATTTTAAAAACAAGGGAATTAAAGTTACAAAACCGAATGCTGAAAGTGGGACATTGACAGTGGAAAAGCTGCAGCCTGGAGACAGTGGAGTGTATTTTTGTGCTGTCAGTCAACACAGTGAAACAAACTCATTTCAAACATGAACAAAAACTCCAGATTAAATTTATACAGAAGATCAGAGTCACTCACACCTGCTACACTTGACAATTTATGCAGTATCACTTTCTGCACATAGGGGGTGATCTACCCTCAGTCTGGGAAGGTCACATAAAGTGACACAACACATATCTGTACTTCCTCCAGTTCATTTCAGTCACTCAGGCCCCAACATGTTCAGACACACAATCACCTTTCTCGTCATTTTGTTTAGATTACAGGTAAAAGGTAAGATCCATGAAACTTTACATTATGTATTTACGTATTATCGTAGATTTGTTAAATTACCATTTATATTTCAATTATAGGTCAAGTTGAGGGTTCAGATGTGACCCAGGATGAATTGATTTGGGCACAAGAAGGAAAAGAAGCCACCATGACCTGCACCCACACAAAAGGAACTGGTTATACTCAAATGTACTGGTATCGACAGCTGCCGGGAGAAACTATGAAACTCGTAGTTTATGCATTGTATGGCAAAAATGACCATGACTTTGGAGATTTCAGCAAAGAAAAATACTCTGCTCACCGGGCCAAAGCTGAAAGTGGGACATTTACAGTGAAAGATGTAACAGCTGCAGATAAAGCCATGTATTTCTGTGCTGTAAGTGAACACAGTGAATCAAACTCATGCAAAACCTCAACAAAAACATATCAAGAGTCTGGGTGTACAGTAGGGGGACTATCAGACCACAACTGTCTGAATGAAGACACGCCCACCTACAATGGAACTACTCTAACATATGGTTTTCTTCATTAACACAAGAGTCTGTCTCCAGCTCAGACAGCATGGGCTGTTTTAATCATGGGTTTCTCAGCTTATTTTTACTCATCTTTTTTAACAGTAAGATTTTTTTTTTTTTTAAGTATAGCATTATTTTGTGAAACTCAAAATATTATCTTATTATGTCATAGATGTATGTACTGTAATTGTTAGTTTTTTTAACTTAAAAAAAAAAACCCACATGAGACATATTATTTATACTTTGAGAATGCTTTTAATTGTATTGGATCCCAGACAGAATATTTAGTTTTGAGTTGTTCATTGCTATGATAACATTCCCACATTTGTAGCTAGATTTCCTAATCAAAAGAGCAAATTCACAACATAAAAATAACTCGTATTTCTCTGTTTAGGTGTGTGTTTTTCCAGTGTGATCCAGAAGGATATTTTGTGGGAATCGGAAGGAGGGAATGCCACACTCCACTGCAGCCACACTAAAGGATCTTCTTATTATCAAATGTACTGGTACAGACAGAGACCTGGAGAAAACATGAGACAAATCGTGTTTACAATGACAACAACTAAACCTGATTTTGAGCCAGATTTTAGAAATGATAGATTTAAAGTTACCAGGCCAAATGCTGAAAGTGGGACATTGACAGTGGAAAAGCTGCAGCCTGGAGACAGCGGAGTGTACTTTTGTGCTGTCAGTGAACACAGTGAGACAAGCTCGTTTCAAACATGAACAAAAACTCAACTGAAACTAATATAGAAGACACCTGCAGGATTTGGCAAATACTTATTTACTCTACAGATGCTGGTGGTGGGAAATCAAACCACATGAGTGAAGAAAGAGTACTGTAATGCAATCAAACTCCATGTTGAACTTAAGTTAATACTGACTTTAAAAATAAAGTACTTAATGTGCATGCACTGTATAAAGTACTATGAATTACTACTATACTACAATATCTATATTACTACCACTACTATATCAGTTCATTTGCATAACAATTTGTCTCTATTCAATCATGTCCACTAGGATTGTAATATAGTGTTAGAGAATGCACTGTGTTTTTCAGCACCATGGACAGCAGTAGAGGTGCATTGTGTAACTTTTCAGCTGAATGGTCCATCACCTACTTGTCTCCATGGTCATGGTATTGCTTTGAACGGGGGAATATTTCAAAGTTTAGCATTAATTCTTTTCTTTCCATGGAGAAAAGCAAATAATGTCACCAGGTTAAGTTACAGGTGATCTGTGGAGTGGGATGCCAGTACACCAAGTCCCGAGAGGTACAGCGCCTCTAAACCTGATGCACAGAAGAGGTCTTTGGCAGTGATATGTGTAGAGGCAGAGGACAGTGGAGTGTACTTCTGTGTAATGAGTTAAAATACTACAACTACTGTGCTTTTCAGTCATGTGTGCCTTATCAAACCTTTTGAAAAGCTCTATAAGAAGTTTGAGTGGTAAAAAATACATCAATACTGTTTATGTACGAGACATAAAATAAAAAATTTCTAGCACCGAGTACCCAGAGACATTGTGGTAGTATTTCAGTCTAATACAGTCCAGTCTGGCTATGCTTCTG